GAAAGGCCTTTAAAATGATATATAAATCGAACCCATTCCGATGATTATTTGTGATATCTGATTTTGCATGGAAAACAAAAAGAGACAAGATTGCTCGTATCAAGCTTGAGTTTTCCGACTGCTTTTAAGGTCTATGGAGCAGTAATAACATGGAAAAATTGAATCTAACAAAATAAAATTATTTTTTTTTGACATTTGAAGTTTTTTAGTGAAAATCTTCACTCCACAAGCAATATAAAGGATAAATTGATAGATTTCGCTCCTAGTAACAAATCAATTATGGCAAATAATTATGTCATCAACCAATTTAGAACAATTTCTAGGACGGATTAAATCTCTGCTTGCGCGTTAATAGCGCGAATTTTATCGCGCATTAATTGTCCCAAATTGGCCAAAATGGCTATCCTGAAACCCCCCATGACTTTACAAAAAATAATCAGAGGGGAAATAATTTTTCAAAGTTAAGCTCACGCCAACAATACTTTTTGAATGATGTAAAAAAACTCCATCAAAAATTGCTAGTTCAAAAGTCGAAATTTGTCTGGTAAAAACCACCCCGATGACAAATAATCCGTTACTTTTGTTAGGAAAGTCGCAACAAAAAAAGGAAAAAATTAAAACATACCCCGAATACAATTTTTCTCCACATTTTTCAAATGGTCAAAATAAAAACATAATATTTGTTGACATTTTTAATTTATACAGAAAAGGCAGGCAGAATGTTTTTTTAGCTGATTCTAAATTTAATTGAAATGACTGATTTAATTGCTGATCAGATTCAACCACATCATATTCAGGTTTTGTAAAAACATTGACTGTTGGCCGTATTTTACGAAAGAAAATGTACTTAGGACGATAGGAAATTCTTTTCAGAATTTAAAATTCGGTCATCTGAAAATTAGTAGTTTTTTTTCGTCACTTTTTGTTCTGACTTTCGTAACGAAAGTAACGGAATATGTGTGCTCGGGGTGGGTTTTTTTCTTCAGACAAATTTCGATTTTTTAACTAGACATTTTTGACGGAATTTGTTTGCATCATTCAAAAGTATTGTTGTCCTGAGCCTAAATTTGAAAAGATATTTCACCTGTGATCATTTTTCGTAAAGTTATGAGGGTTTAAAGATCGCAGAATCTATCACTTTGTACTTTATACTTCGTGTGGGGGGATGATTTTCAAAAAGAATCTCAAATTTTAATTTTTTTAAATTTTATTTTAGAGCATTTAATTTTTTCATGTTATTTTTTACCTCTATAGCCCTTAAAAGACAGTCAGATCATTCAGGGCTTTACCCTGATACGAGCAGTCTTGTTGCCTTTAGTTTTTTCTTCAGGATCAGGTTCCTTGTGACAAATTTTTCTGCTATTAATTCACAAATCCTTGAGAAAATAACCTTTGACACATATATAATCACGTTTGCATCTCTAAACAGATCAGAAAGGATTTCATGATTAGCAATTTGAACAGATGAGAAATGTTTCAGTCAAATTTGTTCAAAAATCGTCAATTATGTCTTGAAATTGCTCTCTAAAATAGTTCAAATCCGATAGATGACAGTTGCAGTATTATTTATTGGGTTCAATTTAATAGTTGAAGGTGGGCTTATAAATGATCTCTGATGGCTTTGGAGGTTATTTGCAATCGTAATCAGCTAAGGAAATTGAAACTATATCCACAAAAACGATCAATTGATGACTTCTGCGCCTATTTAGAAACTAGAAACAGCAGGGATGATTTTGAAAGCTGTTGTCGATTTTAATGGTGATTGCAAAGGTTATTTATTAATCAGACACATTTTTGAAAAATTATGAAAACGCAGGCTCCGAAGTTTACAGCATTAATTTAATCTTATGATATAGAACAATTTAAGGAATGGCACTGTTGGCAGTTCGATTCAGCTTTTTTTTGCAGAAGCAAGACTATCATCACTAAATTTCCAAAAAAAATGCGTTATATTTTGTATTGGCCAATTGATTCATTCATCATAATTAAAGATACCGCTAAAACTAGTCTACCAAAAAAAAATTACTATTATTTTTTAGTAGATTACTTTTAGTGGTATCTTTTGCAAAAATCATGCTATAATAATCCAAATCAAATGTAAAACAGCACCATATAGAGAATGAAAACTCAGCAATAATTGCTTTTACTGGGCCATCGCTTGCTGTTTTTAGGCGAGTGTTCTTTTTAAAGCCTAAAATAGAATGGAATTTGCAGTTCCGAAAAAAAAATCAGTTTAAACCTCAATTTTTTTTTTTTGAAAAATTGCTGCGATTCACTATTTATTCAACGAATAGTGTCTGTGTCTGTGGAGAATAAGAGCTTCACGTTTCTGTTTAGATCGCGAACTTCAGACAGGATTTCTCTCGCCAGTTCTTGTGATGAGAACAACATGGTCTGGTTCTTGTCAATGGCTGATTGCATGTCCTGAATCTCTTCTGAATTTTTCACGCCCATAATAGCAAGATTCCACGCATTCCTTAAGTAGTACTATTTTTTAAGTTAGTGTTTTTTAACATAATAATCAATAAATGCAAAAAATGAAATACAAAAAATGTTTCATCGGAGTGAATACTGAAAACCAAAAAAGCCAAAACTTTGGAGATGGAGTACAAAAATGATATCGAAACTTTTTTAGAGCTCTTGTATATCAGAGAAACAGATAATTAGCCCAAAAAAGTAAAAATTGCTCGGTTTTTGATTTCATTCATCGGAATGTACTAGTTAGCTAAAAAATATTCTTCGGATAATATTTTTTTTTCTGACAAATTTCAAAACGAAATACCAACTTTGACTCCTTGTTGAGTTTCTCTTCAGCGTTGATGAATGCGTGACTGATCATGGGGAACTCCCGCTCTATGTCCCCACACACTTTGAGCAGCTGGGAGTTGATGACTCCATTCACCACCTGTCTGTACTTGGGCGGGGCAGAAGACGAGATTAACAACTCAAATACACCAGAAGATCCACGGGAACGGAGTTCGATCTAAAATTCACCGCAAATTTGAGACAACTGTTTTCTAAGTGATTTCTCTATTTTAACTGCTAATTTTTAAGTGATAACTGCTATTCTCTGATAACCTTATTTTATGGATCCGGTGCTGATGTCCAATAATCGAATGTTCAAACTTTTGTGTCTCTTGTCGACATTAATTCCATTACTCGTCGACTTTAATTCCATAAATTGTCGACATCAATTGTACTCGTTAATTTAATCCGAACATATTGTCACAAAAGAAATTAACCGGTTTAGTGGCCGCAGTCTGATCTCTTAAAGCAGTAATACAAGTTAACACTGGTATGCCTTGTGACTTGACAACCCCAGACTCGTAGCATGTTTCGCACAAGTGCACTTTCTGCTTTTCGAGACGGATCCTCATCTCTGCCACTCTGGCCATCATTGGTTCTGTTTGCAGCAGGAAAACATCCAGATCTGTTGAACCTGAAAAAATGCTACAAAGCCGTAAGCATATTGAAATTTTTTTTTTGAAAACCTTGTCATTAATTTTATTAAGATGATTTATCCACGAGGAAAGAACCAGCATATGAGCTGTTAAGCTCTTTTGAGACCAGTTGTTGTGCCCCCTGCTTAAAAATTACATGCATGATTTTTTTTCTCGCTATTTTTCTGTGTTGCAACGAGAACGGATCATGTTAGAATATCCGATATTTTGATTTTGAGGCGGAAACACAACCTTTCAACTGCTCCCCTTACTTACCTGTGATTTGCATCTTTGAGCTAATCACGTATAAACTCGGCAGAAACCCAAGAATATTGAAAATTGACAGTAAACCTAAAAGCGCTGCACTTTTTCGAATCGCACAGAACATTTTTTTGCCACGGAGTCGAAACAGTTTGTATTCGGGTGTTTTTAGTGGTTTTTTTTCTTTTTGTCCCACGAAAAACCAACTACCACAAATAGTCATCGAAATAAGCGAAGAGTCATATATCATATTAACGCCCTTTCAGTCGTTATTCAAACAACAATAAAACTAAATCAAGTTAACCCAGCATCGAGAAAAACTCCTTTGAAAACTATGTGAGAATTACTCGAGCAAGTAACGCGATCGCTCAACGTTCGTGTTATAAAAATTAATAAACATTGGTCAATTAACTTAGAAAAAAAACTTGATTTTACAAGAAAATTTTGCTGTGGTGCAGGCTTGCAAATATTCACGGATATGAAAATTATTGTATGAATTATCTAATAAGGACCAATAAGACTCAATTCGTAATTACCAAAAAAATGTTCTTAAATTTATTGGCTCTGTTCACTTAACCGGAAATTAACTGATCTACTGTCATTGAGACTATAAATTTTCATTCTGAAAAACGAGTGTTTTTCAAGTTATTGTTCGATTTTATTCGTTTTCTCAAGCTCAGTTTATTAAAAGAGCGGTGACTACTAACACCTCCCTTTCAACTCGAATATTGAACAAAACCAGACTGCTCGTATCAGGGCGAAGGCCTGAATGTTCCGACTGCCTTTTAAAGTCTATGGAGCAATAATAACATGAAAAAATTAAATGAAATAAACTAAAATTAAAAAAAAATTTAAAAAAATTTCAGATTTTTTTGTGGAAATCATCCCCCCGCACGCCATATAAAGTACAAAAAGATAAATTTCGCTCCTAGTAACAATTCAATTATGGCAAATAAGCTTCCTTCAAAAAATTTCGAACGATTTCTAAGACGGATTAAATCTCAGCTTACGCGTTAATAGCGCGAAATATATCGCGCGTTAATTTACCCAAATTGGCCAAAATGGCTGTCTTTAAACCCCGATAACTTTACGAAAAAAAATCACAGGTGAAATACCTTTTCAAATTTAAGCTCAAGACAACAATACGTTTTGAATGATAGTAAAAATTTCCGTCAAAAACGGCTAGTTAAAAAGTCGAAATTTGTCTGAAGAAAAAAAACCCACGCCGAGCACAAATATTCCGTTACTTTCGTTACGAAAGTCGGAACAATAACAGAAACGATTGATGATTTTTAGTCTTGCCGGCTACTAATGGTCTTTTTTTGGTTTTTGCATGGATTAGCAGAGATAAAAACTAAAACTGTACCTGGCCTATTATGCATTCAGTAAAAAAACTATACATTTTAAATAAGATACATTTTAAATAACTATACATTTCAAAAAAAAACCAAGGAAAAAAAATTATATTCGATTTGAAAAATCAAATGAAGTGTTGTTGAAAAATCAGCAGCTGGTTTATGCTCACGAGACTGGCCTGAAATCGTCAATTCTTAACTTTGCTCTCACAATATCCAGTTACTTCAGCTCATCAAAAATCTTATAATTTTGCTAGTCTCTCAATTTTTTTTTATTTTTCTCTAAGGTGTAATCTGAGACACTTAGTATAGTGGAATTATCATTTAGCATTTTCTTGCCATGAATTTTTCCTAAATAACTTAAAATTATTGTGCAAAAATTAAAGAATTTTTTTTTCAGGTTTCTGTTTCTTTTTCAATTTTTGAAGATAATTGTTGTCAACTTTGCCTAAATCGCTATTATATACGCGTTTGTATAGTTTTTTCATCACACCACCTACAGAAAATGACGCTAATGTGTTCGGGTATTTTGTACTTTTTCTAAGATGCTCATTTTGACTGATTGTTCACTCCTCTTTGAGGGGAAACACGTGATGAGAAAAAAATTTGGGCTGGAGAAACCTCTATTACAACTGTCTAAAACGTTTTTCTTGAGTAGAACTCCTGGTAACTTGTCGACCACGCCCAAATTTTCATCCATTTTTTGTGGTGCTCTGATTATCTTTCTACTAACCGGTTAGGAAGAACTGATGTTGCGCACTGACAGGCCTGTTCCTGGGAGTGCGTGAGCTCAGAAGAAGATCAAAGTCAGTTTCGTTTTCCAGTCTGGCCGACTCTGGACTCGAGAAGTTCAAAGTGGAAGAGGTCAGATTAAGAGCCGAAGAAGAATGCGAAATTTCACTCGAGTTTTCGTAAATCTGAAACTGAAACTGATAGTTTTAGAAAAATTTTTTTAAAAAACAGACTTACCCGCTTAGTGGCTTCAGTCTGATCTCTTTTAGCAGTATTGCATGTTAGAACTGGTATGCCTTGGATCTGAAGTTTTCAAAATACAGTTTGGAAATTTTCCAAAACCAGAAAAATCTTTTCAACGCGATTATTTTCTTCAATAAATGTTTAAGTTTCTGAAAAACAAGAAAGGAATTTTGACGCTCATGATTCTTTTGCCAACCTCGAGGCACAAAACCATGAAACAATATTCGATTTTGACTGAATGAAAAATTAACTCTTTTTATTCGGCCGGAGAAAGAACTTAATTTTCATTTTTTGTTGTGCCGCGAATAGTTGCGCCAGTTAGTTAATTGCAGAAAGGTAACGTCTTACTTTTTCGCCTTCGTTTTGCGGCTTCTGTTTCACAACACTCGGAAAACCTGGATTAGTTGCTTTCGAATTATTTTTCAACAGTTTTGCAGCTCGTTTCTGAACTAATCTGTGGAAGAATGAATTCATAGTGATCGTGAATGTTTGCACTGCAGATTCGTCTTTGCGTGATACTGCAACTGAGTCGGTGAATCCTCCTTTCAGAGAACAGTTCTTTAAATTGTCAATTGCTGAGTCGCTTTTGTCTGCTGGTATGAGGTCTGTTTTTGTACCTGTCAAAACTTATTTTTTAAAATGTTAAAACATACCCGTAAAATGCTAATCTAATTTAATTAAGAAAATTCAGAAATAGGAATGAATTAGGAATGGTCAGACAATGGTCTCATAAGTCTAATGGAATGTAAGCAGTCAAGGTCAGACAGTACCAGATAATATAATTATTAAACAATAATAGCCGGTAACTGTGCAATTAGCACAAAATGTTCCGACCGTAGTCTTTAAAAATACAACTTATAAGTTTTTCAAATTAGTGCCGTTTTTTCGGCGTGGTGTGACAAAAGAATTTGAACAAAAAATTAGAGATTAGCTATATAGAATTGAATTGATATAGAATTGATTAGCAAATTGAATTGATATTGGACAGTAATTGTGAGAAAAGCAAAGTCAAAAACGATTTTTGTAGAAAAATGACTGGAAAAACAAAAAAAAGTCAAAAACAAAATTCAATTTTTTTTTCAAATTTATCTTTAATTTTTTGAACTTTTGAAGTCTTTGAATCTAAAAAGGCACTGAAACATTCAAAAAACTAACCTAATTTGAGTTAAACTGAACTTACGTTTTGAATTACGCTTTATTCGCTCGAGTTGAAACGAAAAACCGAAAATTTTTCGTCGCGGTTTCTTAAGATCGTTCGAATCAAACAAAGCTGTAAGGGCTTTACCATGATATATCAATTTACTCTCTCCAATAACTATTTGAGGTATCTTGCGTGGAAAACAAAATGAGGAAAATAACTAAGAAAAATATCCGAAAGCAAATTTTTCAAATGGTCGCAAAAACAAGGATAACCGAATACTGTGCAAGTAGCATAGAATAATCCAAAAGTATTATTAAAAAAATCTGTTTTTTTCTTTTCAAATCAGTGAAGTTTTTTCTGTGCAGTAAGATGAAACAAATCTGAACGGAAAATATTAAATTAGGTTAAACTGACAATCATAGTCAAACAGGCCAGTTGTGTAACAATTTTATTGATAAATGGTCAAAAAACGAAAAAAAAAGAATAATTTTGACATTTTCAAAAATACTTTCTAAAATTTTTGCAGAAGTTTTCGAGTTTTTGAAACTTTTGATTTTTAAATTTGCGCTAAAAACAGCAAAATACAATGATTATTTGAGAAAAATTAAGTATTCATGGCAATTGTAAGCCTGAAAACCTTCTTTTGTCAACCTTATAAACTCGAAATTAGACCAAAAATCAAAAATTTCAAACCAATTTTTCTCGACTCTGAATAACTTTTTTGAAACTTCTATATGTCCTTCGAATCTCGGCTAAAAAGGCTTTAATATGTTATATCACTCAACCTTATCCTAGGAACATTCATCGTACCTGATTTTTCGTAGAAAATAAAAAGAAAAAATACGAAAAAAAAAGAAAAAACAAAAAAACCCAAAGAGAAAATTCCTCTCCATTTTCAAATGGTTGGAACGATAGATCAACAAAAAATCATTAGTTTCACTGGGAAAGTATCAAAAGGGAGCGGTGGTGAAGTGGTTACGTCTCCGCCCCTCAATCGAAAGGTCGGATGTTCGAGGCCCACCATGATCCGTGCTAGTTGCTTGAGGGTGAAGCAACATTACCCAGCCCAAAAAAATAACCAAAAAAAAAAATTGCATGTAGTTCTTAAACAGGGGCACAACAGCGGTTCTCCGTGATGAGCTGTACAGCTCTTGTGTTGGTCCTTTCCCCCGTGGATAAATGGTCTTAATTGTCCTATGTTTCAAAAGGAAAAAAAATTAGGCGTTTAAATTTGTCTAATACTGAGTACAGTAGACTGTAAGTTTTAGTTGTACAAAATGAAGACATTGATTAGGCTAAAAGTGATCCAAAGATTTCCAAAACTGAGCCAAGGGTTAGCGAAATTTAGTTTGCACTATTAATCATAATTAGAGAAGCATTTGAAATTAATGATAACAAAATAAACAGCAATTTTTTTATAGTTTATGAGCATGAATTTTCTTTTCAAATTTTTAGTCGAATTATTTCAGCATTAGCATTCGGTGATCCAATCGATGTCAATATCGTTCTTCCCGCCCGGTCATGATATTAGTCGTTCCTCAAATTAGGCGATTTAATGGATTAAAACTTCGGCCTGATCATCGAAAGACAGCTTTGATCTTTTAAACTGGAGTTCATTGCTTCAAGGAGGTTTCTCTGAATGCTGGAATTTGCAGTGTCAGTGATCGTCTATATCGTTTCAGCCACTCAGACCAAACTTAGTGACTCTGACCTGTCAGTAGTGATCTGTTTTGCCTTTGATTTACTAGAGTCTAATCACAGAGTTTGAACTCGAGCCTTGTGGTCTGAAACAATCTACAAAATCTACAAACACCAAAGACTTCTTGGGGGCCCAAATTTCTGCCTGGGCGAGTAGTTGAATTGACCAACTAGATTTGGGATCTCTATTTCATAGATTAGAACGTGCACCATTGCAGAGCTGTCCTCGGTAAAATCGATGGTTCTCGACGGTTGTTGACTAGAATTAGCATTCGATGAAGTTGTGTCATGCGACTTCATTTCTGCATTGATGGGGCTCGATCCGTTGTTTACTTGTTTTGCAAGCCTGAAGGAGATTGGGCATTCTATTGGTGACTTGATTCCGTTCTTTGGCAAATTTCACTCAAATCCGATCGATAAAAAGACAATTAAAATTTTTTGCCCTTCACTAAGTAACTCGTGGAAGTCTTTAATGAAAAACGTGTAAATTGTATGAGTAGTTTTAGTCTGGCTTTTCCTTTTTCTTCGGAAAGACCGCTTTTTGGACCCTGTCTTGTGTCCTGTGGTGGTTTTTGAGGCTGATATTGAAAGAGCGATTGCAGCCTCTACCTGTGTCCTTGTTGTGTCTCTTCTCAGCTCGTAGAATCAGACGCCGGTGTCTGATTATCTTATGACTTTTCCGTTTGAAAAATTAATTGTAATTTCCAAAAAAAAAATTTTTTTTCAAACTCCCTTTTCTTGATAAAAAAGTTCCCCTTTTTCCTATCGTAAGAGTCTGTTGAGTTCATTCTTACCAGAGGATCCAGTCAATGCTTGTCTGCTAGAGGAAGGAGCATGCTTAGTGGAAGAGGCTGAGCAATGCAAGTCGAAGCATATTTCGGAAGAGGGTTGTATTTGTTTGAAAAAATATATCTTCTACTGATTCTTCTAATCCCCAGTTTTCACTCTGGGTTTGATAGAATTGTTTGGCCTCTATTCAAAATTTATTTCGGGTTGTTTTCTATAAATTTTTCCATAGGTTTTTAAGTTTTTTGGTAATAGTGTTTTTCAAAAGAGTTTCAGTTTATTGTTGATTGAATCGCTTTTCCTAGGTTTCAGATTATAGTATACAAGGCATCGTTTAGAAAAATTTTGAACTTGTTTGATGAGAATGTGCGTAACTTTGTTTTGAACGTGTCAACAAAATTGTTAAACAATCCGCTGGATTGATGATCTCCAACTGCAAAACGTTTTGAAATCGTGTCCTGTAAGGCAAGATGCATGATCTATCTTGACTTTTTTGGAATGCCGTGAAGGTGCATGTAACCTTTAAAAGTTTTGAAGTTATGGTTTTGATGAAAAACTTGACGTATTTTTGTTGTTGTAAGTTTAGAGAATTTATCGATACATCTAAAAAAAATCCATGTTTTCCGGTAAAAATCCTACGGACCAGCCCTGTTTATTTCTGACCAGAATAATAGAGATTTAATATTGGATATCAAATTCAAAGATTTCAGGTTTTTACCTGCTTTAAAGCAGTTTGAACGTTTTTTTTTTCCATTAAACAGATTAGTCTGTTAATGTAAGGCCACCATATGTATTTAGAGAGAATTTTAATTCAAAACGACTCAAGTTATTTTTTTTTGGGGTAAATTAAGCACTCCCTCTGACCGGAAATGGTATAAACAGTTTGTTGTCCATGTGTAGGAGTTCATTGGAAGTGTGAAATTTTCAATAGAACTGGTGAAAGTACTTCATAGAGTGTAGGTTTTACCTTCAAGGCTTTTACCAGTGGATTTGAAAAATTGTCTTCCTCAATGCGTATAGCGAAAATTTTACAGACAAAAAACGAAAAAATAACCAAATAATTTTCCATTATTGTTGACGGTTCTTCATTTTTCATAGCAAAATAATATTGCGTTTTTTGTCTTTAATTTCCCCAACAAAAAAAAACATGAATGCCTGAAGGATTTAAGGATTTGACGGTGACACAATGTGCGCGTCAATCTCCAAGATTATAAAAAAAACGGTTTTTAAACACTTTAATTAATGAGTATTTTCTCGGCAAAATAACTCCGGAAATATAACGGAAATTTGAAAATATAACGATAATTTTAACAAACTTTATCATCGGTAACATCGGCCACAATAAACTGCATAACTCAAAGCAAGCTGCAAAAATGGCCAGTATTTGTCCTTGAGACAAATTGCTCTTTTTAAAGGTCAGCCATAACCAAGGCTGAACCAAATTAGAGCGAAAAGACGGTTAAAATGGGTTTTTGGGGGACCGAACCTGGTTACGGAGCATCCCATCAAGTTCGGTGCACATTCGAGTTCTAGAAAGGAAATGACCTAGTCGGGATTCGAACCGGCGCCGAACCCGCCGGGACGCACCATGTATACGCTTGGCTACTGTCCCTGTATGTATTTACTTTTATATGCATTTATACTCTCGCACATTTACATTTGCGCTGCAACATCCTCCGCCCCTAAAGACGGAAGAACAGGTGCGAGTTTTACGGTCGGTCGTGTCAGCTCGCTCGTAACAGTTTTGATATCGGCGGATCGGGCGCATCCGTCTTTGCCGTAGTGTAGTTTAGCAATACGGGCGAGTGGGTAATGCCCACGTGGGCTGTCGGGTTCGACTACCCAAACCAAGTCGCCGGTTTTCAGTGTGACATCCGAATCATTATGCCACTTTGCTCTCTTGTTGAGAGATGGTACATATTCACGCAGCCAGCGTGACCAAACTGCGTTAGCGTACGATTGTGCTCTGGCGTAACGCTTTTTATAATCAAA